TCGTAGTACAAGTGGGGTGTTACTGGCAGGGCTTACTCCATCTATCCTCAGGGTTGAAACTGATAAGGTATGTGAATGGGTTGACAGTCATGTAATGAGGTCAAGGTGTTAAGCCAAACTGCCTGTTTTTGGCAAGGCATGCCATTTTTATTTCTGTGGCTTAACAGGTATAGACTCCTAGGCTGAACCCTTTTCTTTTTGCAGCAACACTTGTGAGTTTGTGATTGGCTATTGTATTTTAGATTTTTGTGGTTATTTATTTTGTGGACTGGACGTGAAGTTAAGTCACTTAGTAGACAAAGGTATCCGAGTGCCTCGCAAGAAAGGCTTCAACAAATAAGACTGCAGTCTAGAATAAGGAATTCTTAAAGTAATTAATTAAAAAAAAAACCCTTCACAATAAACATAGTAATAAATGAATTAATCAACTAAATAGTGCATCGGGAGTTTTTGTTTAAACTGTGAGTTCTGAAATGACTTTTGAGATCTGCAACGCATGGATTGAATCATTTTCCACTTTAGCAAAAGTAAAGACAACCAAGGAAATCTTTTTAAAAAGAAGTTATAACAAGAAACATAGTAATAACAAAACTGTTTGTGTAAAAACTTCAGTGGCTTCTTCTTAGATGTGAATTCTGAACTTTCATTATGTAATATAACAAAATACATCTAAGTGTTATGTAAAGAAATTTAGTAGTAAGGGATTAGATTAATTAAATGGTTCATTGACTTCTATTTTAATTATGAATTTTGTATCTTGCTTTATTGAATCTCAATAAATGTCATTTCAAAACCTTTGTCAATATTTCTAACAATTGCATCTCAACTTTCTAACAAGTGCCATCATTTTTGACAGCACAACTACACTAGTTAGAATATTAATCTTAAAAATGGCTTAGAGTTTTGTATTTCATTTCAGTGTAAAAATACAAATACTTTATTCTTTTACTAATGTTCACCAAATACAAGGCTCAAGAGCCACTCAAAGTAGAGGATTACTGAATGATGTTTAATGTAAGCGGAAGAGGAGGTTAGAAGTGCAGTTTATGGAGTTATGTAGGACAGATAACTTTAGACTTGAAAAGTTGAAGATTGTAGTGATTCGAAAAAGATCCTGTTGGGAGTTTCTTACAAAAAGTAGCAGTTCTAGGGAAGAAGCTATCTGAATGGAATTTCCTTCTTAATAATGGAATACAAAGGGAACAATGAGGATTCATCTCCATGTATGGGTTTTAGCTGCAAAGGTCAGAACTGGTGATCAGAACATTTGCCATGGAAATATTGATACAGCAGTGAGAAGCTTGCAACATTTTCTGTGGGAAATAATTAATAAATGCAAAATGATGCATAGATGCTTTTGAACTCTATCCAGATATAGCAGGAGGAGTCAGATACTTTCAGCAGTGGTATAAGGAACTGACCATTTTTCCAGATGGATCATTTATCCAGTCCTTCTCCCATTAAGCTACCAGGGTTAGATCAGAGAAGAGTAAAAAGCTGTTAGGTTCTGGTCATCCAGATTTTGGGAGGTGTACTTATACACCATTGTATCATCTGCATAGATATTCACTAAAGATCTGAGTATGTTCTTAGGCAGATTATTAATATAAAGCAAAAAGAGGGTAGGGCTAAGAAAAGAACATTGACAAATGCCAGCCTTTAGTTCAATTTCTGGAAAGTTGGAACATGGACCCCTAATATTGGCATAGGAGATTGAACCTAGAATCTATATTTGTTTTTGTGGGGGTTGGGTTGGTGTGTATGTTCTAATTGGTTTTGCTGTGGACATGGTGAGATATATTGAGAAATGGCCACACCTACAAATAGTATGTGCATCAATCTGCTCAATTAAATTGACTGGAAGTGCAGCCATAATTATATACTTTATCATGGTACCAAGAGACCCCACTGGAAACTACTGCATGGTTCAGACCCCATTAACAAAATGGCAATACAAACAGCTCTGATATTATAAATCTGCCGATAGGATGGCCTCCTCATGAATTACTCAGGCAGATAATGCCAACCCAGAAGATATTATTAGTGAAGAGACAAAAAAAAAAATCAAGTAAAGAAAAAGATGGAAGAGTGGAAGAATAAGGCACAGAGACCTGCTTGCTGACTTGTGAGGATTAAAAGACCCACTAGGAAATGCTATATTTTTTATTTATACACATGACAAAGTTTTCAGTCAGTATATCTCATAATCAGAAGAAAATACACATTAGTTTTTAGAATCTTTACTATAATGCCTTAGATAATGTTCTGAAGTTAAAATTGTATATTCTGGGAAATAGTTATAAATATGTACAATATTTTATAATCTTGCTATTCCTATAGAATTAAAAAGCAGATTAAAAACTAAAACAACATACAAAGTCTACATTCTATAAAGCAATAGAGACATAAGAAATGTTGCTGTTACGAATAATAAATGATAACAGAGAAAAAGAAAATTTAAGTTTAGATGGTAACCAGTACTTTATTTTGATCAATCCATATAAAATCGACACAAATTGTAGCTGAATATCTATATAAAGCATAATCATTATATAGATAAGATTTCTTTAATATGCAAGAAAGATTCTGGCTTGAATTGATATCCCAAATCAAGAACAGGTTTACTTGAACTGATTGAGATTTAACTAAAAATACCAAAAGTATAAAATGCAAACAGATTGTTCCTTATGTCAATTTTCTTTTACAAATTCTTTCAACATCAATTACTTTTAGCTGATCAGGTTGGTTTTCATTTTGAAACAAGAACGAGTCATCTGTGCAGCTTCTGGTGGGACTAGGGAGAAAAGCACCTTGGTCTTCGATGCATTAATACGCATACCCACAGAGCGGGCTGCGTTGTGAACTCTTTCGAGAACACTTTTGACGTCTGCAATCGAGGACCCCAGAAGGACGATGTCATCGGCATAGGCTAAGTCCGACACCTCTACATCTCTACCCGACCGACACACCTGGGTAGCCGCGGAGGGCAGTGTTGAGGATGAAGTCGATGGCAAAAGTTGAAGAGGGTGGGTGAGAGGGCACATTCCTGTGGGACTCGGACCTGACGTCGAAGGCTCGATTCCTCACCGTAGACCCACCCGTGCCCGTGCCCGTGCGTGGCTCGATAGTACCCCTGGATGAGGTGAAGCAATTTCACAGGGATGCCGTCCGCCAGCATAAGTTTCCACAGTGCATCTCGATCAACCGAATCGAACGCAGCTGCGAAGTCTATGAAGCACAGGACTGTTGGTTGTTGGTAGGCCCAGCGCTGCTCGAGTGTGCGTCTCAGGTTGAAGATCTGATCCACACACCCTTTCCCCGGGCGGAAGCCACATTGGGTGGGATGCGTGCGGGCGTCTCGAACTGTCTGGAATCGCTTCAGAAGCAGAACTGCGAAGGTTTTGGCCGCTACATCGAGCAGACTGATTCCCCGATAGTTGGAGCACACCTTCCTGTCACCTTTCTTAAAGAATGGCAGCAAGACAGCGTGTCCCCAGTCATCAGGAACAGTCTCTGTGGTCCACACCACATTGAAGACCCTGTGAAGCCATGGAGCGAAGATGTCGGGCAGGGCCTTGTAGACTTCCGCCGGGATCCCATCTTCCCCGGGAGCTTTGTTGTTACGCAGCTGACGAAGGACAGACAGAATCTCCTGAATTGTTGGCGGATCAACACTGCAGTTGTAAGTTCCATCCGCAGGTTGCAGGTCTAACTGGACAGCGGGGGGCTGGTGGTTGAGGAGCACGTCAAAGTGTTTGTGCCATCGATTGACCTTTTCAGCGACTTCAGTTAGGATCGATCCATCTCCAACAAGAAGCGTGTCGCCATGTCCAATGGCGCCCCGACCAGCCTGTTTCAGCAGCTGGTAGAGTTTGCGTGTGTCTCCACACGCAGATGCTCTCTCGGCCTCCTCGGCCACCCTGCTCCAGCGCGCATTGCTATCGGTCCTAATGGCCTCCCTCAGTTGGCGCCGAAGAATGCGATAGTTTCGAGCTCCTGAAGCCCAGCGCCCCATCTCGCTGGATGGTGTCAACCTGGAGGTGGTCGAGTTGTTTGTCTACCTAGGATCGGCTGTGGTTGCATCCGGACAAGGAGTGTTTGAGGTGGAACGTCGGATGGGCGGCCGAGATCTGCTTTCGCCCGTCTCCAGCGCTGCCTGTGGAACCGAGAGAGATCTCGCCACCACGAAAAGGGCGGATCTTCCAGGCGATCATTCGCTCTATCCTCCTATATGGGTGTGAAACCTGGCGCTCAGGGTGGTTGACCAGTGCAAACTGGAGGTGTTCGACAATGACTGCCTCCGTGCATCCTGCACTGCCGACGCGGTCGACCGGGTCCCTACCACCGAGCTCCGCCGCCGCCTCAGTCACGCCTCTGCCCGCAGTCCTTCTTCAACGGTGTCTGCGATGGTTCGGACGCGCCAGCGCCGGTCGAGAGGGGAGCTGATACTGGACGTTCTCCTTCCCACACCGCCGTCCACCTGGCGGAAGCGGATAGGCGGACAGCTGAAGACGGGGCCTCAACGATCAAGGAGGATCTGGCGCTACTTTCTGGCCTGCATGTGGTCGGCCTCCGCCGCTGGAACCGCTGACTGGCTTACCATCTCTCGTGCGATTCGCGCGACAGACCGATGAGCGTGGGCAGCAATGGTCCATGATGCGGTGCGTCAACAGGAAGAAGCCGCTCAATCCGCCCAGGGTGAATGCCGCATCAAGACAAAGAAGAAGACATCTGTGCAGCCCTGTTGATAATCCAGAAAATTACAGACACAAACATCAAGTCAATATTAAAGAAAATTTAAATTAGCACTTTTTTTTTCTCCAAAGTTGAAGGAAGTCTCAAATACAAGATTTATTTTAAAACTATTGTTAAAATGGTATATAATCTCAAAAAGTATGTCTGCTATTTCCATTTTAGTAGTCAATATATTTTATTTTCTCTCTCTCAGAAACCTGGTTAAAAGCAAAAAAATACAAAGCAAACACCAAAAAGGTGCAAAATCAGAGAAATGAATTACCATTTGTACTTTTGTTTCCTGTCAATGAAAGAGAACAAAGTAAAAATGTATGAAAAGGTAGGCAAGTCATGCATCAATACAGAAATTTACATTTTCATGATTTTAGTTGATATTGATAAGCAGGTGACATTTATGTGAAAGACATGTGAAACGCTTACAAAGTGCATGATTTATAATTAGTGGAAAGAATGGTATTTTCAAAGATTTGTAATTGTTGTTATTTAAAAAACAACAACAACAATAAAAAGAACAAGAGCATTATTAAAATGCATGCAATAAAGTGTTAACTACAAGTGATAAAAATAATGTAAATTTACATGGCCATCTTTATATAGCAAGGGAAAAATTTTAGGAAAAGTATCTGTAATCATTTTTATTCTCAAATATAGAGGTAGATTAAACAGTGAGTGAGGTGGAAAGAATTGTTATCAATTTGTTAATTAAAAATGGAAGAAATTCAAATAAATTTAATCATGTTTTACAGATAACAAATGTCTCTTTTTTTTAACATAAGCATTATTAAGAAGATTGAAAAAAAGGATTTATTATTCCATTCAGCATTAACATGTGATAAGTCAATTGATAAGGTTGTGATGCATTGAATTATATAAAGTTTTAACACAAAAATTTCTGTAAGGTAATTATTTTCAAATCACTCAAAAATATAACATTTTTTTAAAAATATTTCTTCTGACTTTATATAAATTAATGCTTATTAACAGATGTTAAACTATAAAGAGATAAGATAAATAGCATGTGAAATTTATATTTTCAGTGTCAAATATATTTTACAAATGAGCTAACCTTTAACTTTACTTTCTTAAATAAAGTAAAATGATGTAAGCAGGTAATCTAAACTGCATGTGTTATTATTTCATAAATAGAATCCAAGGTACTTGTTCATAAAATGGCAACAGCTTTTTGAGTTTCATAAAAAGCATGAGTTTTTGATCAAAGATAGTCGGTTGTAACCAATGGTAAAGCAAAAAAATGAATTTTAAAGGGAGATAACTGGATAAGAGTAAATGCTGCTATGCAATTTCTGTGTTATGGTTTATTGTTGGTTAGTAATTTAAGCAAAGAAAAATGTCCATACATAATATACAAAGATTTTGGTTGAACACTTTTTGGATGCAATAGTTATTTTACTAGACAAGGTCTTAGTTTACATTCTACTATAGGGATAATATTGAAAGCAGATTGAATGATGGGAAGTAAACAAAAAAAAAGAACAGGAAGCCAATTTCAAGCCGTTTGTAAAATACTTTGTAAAATTATAGAGAAGTTTTACAAAGTCCTTACCTCTTTGCTGCTCAAGTGTAAGTTTCTTTGGTTTGTTCACTGTGGCATAGATAGGTTCAGGGTCAGGGTGTGATATTAATGGAGTGTCTGGATTGTTAAATGACTAAAAAGAAATTAAAAAAGAATTTGTTAATATTTATAAGCTGCAATTATCTAGAAACAAATGACAAAATAATGGAAGGCCTTGTTTCAAATTCTATTTTGAACAGTTTTGTCAGACTATTTGTCACCCTAAATTCAATAATCAAACAAATTGATATTACTAATATACTCCCCAAAATATCAAAGATCCCCCCACCGGTCTATATATTTAGATCTATATATATATGAATGCAAAAACTTTATGATCAGTAGTATTACATCCCAAAATCACACATCATTATAAAATGAGTCATAGAATTGAGCATTTGGATATGACAGTTGTTACAAATAAAAAAATGAAACAATTGCAAAAGGTTTACATAATTGGGGAGGGTTCAATATCAAACAAAGGCACTGATACCAACAAAAGATTAAAAGAGACAATATCTTTACCATATTTAGTTGGCTAATTATCTAACCTATCAAGAATAGAACTAGCCAGACATTGGTGAAAAAATCATATGATGATGAGTGAAGGAAAAGTTCTTTATAAAGAAATATTGACATTTCCATCCATTGTCCAATATTTAAGGACATCATGCAAAGGTGGTGCAGGATAGATAAAAAAAAAAATCAAAGTTTATATTATCAATGTCTACATCTACCCATTCATTTCTACCAGGTTCTTAACATTATTAGATTATTCAAAGATGTGACTAAAAACAAAATAAATGAATTGGCATAAGTCGTCTTACTGTGAATACTTCTGAAATTTCATTATCCTCCTTGAAAGAAACTCTTCCTTTACGAGGTAAAGCTGCATTTCCAATGTCTTCTTGCTTCTTGGTTGGTGACATTGAACGTTTCCCAAATGTAGATTCACCATCCTTGAAGTTTAATTCAGCATAACAATCCTCTTTCAGATATAGAGAAAAAAAATTTATTTCATATTTAAAAAAAAAAAAAATTAAAAAGTTACCAAATGCACTACAATATGTAAAATCAGTACTTTGAACATAAATTGAAAAAAAACAAAAAAGCAAAACATTTTAATTAGTAAATATTTTGTGTTTATTGTGTGAAGATATAGTATCTAATTAAAGTAACAGATAATTTATACTAATCCCACTTTTAACACATTTTATGTAGCATGTTAACATGTAATGATTGTGAAATAATTCTATGCTGAAAATATTACACATACTTTATAACAGATCACAACATCTGTAAATTTGATTGAATGAAATTGGTGATTACAAGCATATAAATTTGAAGTCAGATTACAAATTAAGAAAATTAATTTCTTTTTGTGAAAATAAATTTCAACAAACAAGTAGACAAAATTTATTCTCAAGACAAACTAAATTTGGACAAAATTCTTTAAGCACGGAAATCAACAAATCAAAATAATCTTCTGATTGAGTGAAAACAATTTTTTCTAAAACTGGTTTATTGCACATCATTCACATTTGTGTGAAATCTAAAAATTAATAAAAAATAAAAACTCAAGGTAAATATCAAGTTTTCATTATTATGTTTTTACTATTCCTAAAATTAAAGACTTTTTATCAATCCTTAAATTGATATGTATGGTTTAAATAGAATGTGCTTCAAGTAGTAGAATAATATTTTGGGTTGGAATTGTGAATATTAATTCCACATTAAATTAATGAATAGAAAAATAAAAGATATAAAAGCCTTAAAAAAACTGACACCTAGATTAAAGATAATGAAAATAACACCTGTAGCTTAACTGTTTGCTATCACATAAGATGAAAAGAAATTACCATCTATTTTACTATGGCTTACAGAATCAAAACACAGACATATTGTTAATCATAGAAAAGTTTACACTCACATAGTTCTGGTATTGAGAGCCAAGCATAAAAGAATTTATTAATATCAAGCCAAACAATAATTTTATAATTTAACCTGACAATTTTACATCTCATGCAAATCACTTAAATTTGAAAGAATCTATAAACTAGCACAAATATTCTCTGAAATTTTATAAAATGTTTGAAGTTTATTTTTAATATTAAAGTGAATTTTGGTCCATGCTGTCAATAAAGATCAAGTGATAAAAATTGATTAACCATTTGATTTTTTATCATGATTGATTTTTTTTATCTTAATTTCAGTTGTTTTTCATTGCACCTATTAGCACCATCAGACTATGCCAATCAGTAAATAGCACAGAGATTGGAAATAAGCCGGAAGTGAGATTTGAACACCTTACTTAGGAAGCCTGTCTAGATATGACAGTTGCTCTAGCATTTTCAGTTACTAGAACTAAGGGTTATCTACTTTTCATATTTCTTTCTTTCTTTATTTCTGCAGGCATCTTATGTGTTACAGTGAGGAGCTGAAAGCGCACTAAGAAATACTGCTTTGCTTTCAGTAGCAAGCATATTTTTACAGATCTTGGTTGCTAACTTGATGCCTAAGACAGATTTGCATAGCTAAAGGATTCCAACTGTTCTGTCTTTTTAGCCATAGCTGCTGAGAGAAGTGGATGCATGCTTTTTTTCAAGAACATTTAGTGTGAAGTGAATATATAAACTGTAGCAGCCAGAGATTGAACTTGATTCGATTCTGTGGCATTAACTGTTAGGCCACCCATTCAATATAAGTTATTGTAGTGAAAGAGATAATCAGTTACCCCGGAAGAAAGTTTGTGTTTTGTGTGCAATCTGCCGAATAAAAATTACCAAAAGTAAAAGTTAGCAAAAATCTACTTCAATGACTAGAATCTATGCTAATGTTCTCCCTTCCCCTGAATGTCGTGACCAATCAAAAAGATCTCTCGATGAACCAAAGCCGTTGTTTTTCGCTTATAAAGGCAGAAGATTTTCTGAGCTGGTGAGCCGAACATGTGTTTTTGCTCGTTAGAAGTGAAGGTTGGATGTGTGACCCCATTTTGTCGTTTCTACTTTGCTTGTTGGACTGTTACGATGGGCTATTGTGTGGACTGTGATTTGGCTACAAGTGTTGCGATCGAGAAACAGAAGAAATCTATTGCAGTTGCTACTATAAGTTGACAGTCTTTTCTTTTCTTTACTACAACAATTATGTTAAAAAAAGAAAAGAAAACAGATATGGCACTGAAAGAAAACTAAAGACTATGTCCCTGTGGTGAGATATGATCTGCCAACTGTCAGCTTTGATAATTCAAATAGTAGAACAGCCCTCATATAAAGGCAAGCTCCCCTAATTTAAAAGGGGTGTGAATTCCCCAATCTAAAAGGGACATGAATTTAAATTTTGCCTCAAGCCTTTTCTTTATTGTCAATTCGTAATGACTGTGGTTAGGCTGACAGTTTGAATAATTGCATTGAAAATCAAGTAAAATTAAAAGGAAAGAAATATAAGAATAAAAATGGATAGTTGACAATGCTTCATTTAATTAAAAACGCAAAATTACTTGATTTGAACAACACCTGAAGAAGGTTGGAGGACACAATGACCAAAATACTGCAATAGCAACAAACATGAAGACATTAGTCTGAATGTAAATAAATTTCACATGTGTATTCAATGATCTTTTTTTGTAAGTAATTATAGCATTCTAATGATGATATATTTTGTTAAGATGTCAAGTGACAGGAAAAAGCACATGGGAACATGGTTTCATGCCTTTCACCAGTGAGAGTATGAAGTGAACACAAGCAAGTTTCTCATATTGAAAATATGAGAAACTTTACAATAAGATGTATGCAGAAATGCAATCAAACTTACCATTATCTTCATTATCTGAAGTTTTAGGAATAAACTTGGCAAGACTCACTCTCATGGCTCCCTGTAAAAAAAAAAAAAAAAAGTTAAATAATAAAGAAAAAAAGTAAAAGAAACAAAGTTCTAAAATTGTTTTTGCACATTTAACTTGATATAAGGTTTCTATATCAGTTGTCTGATAAACATTTCAAATTTCTGCTGGTTGCCATGATGGATTCACACTAATTCAATTTACTTTTTTCTGAATACAAAAGGTTTCAGTTTTGTTTTTTCTTTATTATCTACAAAGCAATACTTCTGCCAATGAGAAATTTATCTTTGTACTATAAGCAGCAAATATCATGGATGATTGACTTTGTCACCTTTTCTCTCAGATAACCTTTCCTTCCAGTCATTATCAAGAGAATCTTAGCTGAACTACTTTTTAAACCTGTACTATTATACATCTTGTTATGTATATTGAAAGTGGATATAAGCAACAACAAGTGGATGAATGGAGTTTATTGCCAGCAATACTAAGCTAGTGATATGTGAGAATACAGGATGAAATAATTGTGGAAGAGACATGCAAACAAGATACAAGTGATGCTTCATGCCCAATGGTGTGGTGGAGGGTTGAAGCCGGCAACCCCTCAAGAAGAATCTGTTAGAAGCAACACTGAAGGGGAGGCATCCATTATATTAACTGGCCTAGAAGACATTCCCTTAGAACAATGGACTAGGAAGCATCTACTTTGTCTCATCAACTGAAGTTGTTCCTAAACAGTAGCGGTTGCAACAAAAAGGCTTCCTTCTGGCTTTTCTATAAATATTTTCATGGCAACTTCTCTGAGCTTTTTTTCCCCTGGTGCCCTGACTACATGAGTTTAAGTGTGCTACTAGATTGGCATCTAGGTCCCACCCTTTTACTGTTGAAATAGTTAAATGTAACTGCCACTTCTACTCCAACAGTTTTCTCGCACTAACTGTCTATAGAACTCCCTTCTGTTTCCTTGCTTCCCTGATAACTACAATCTTCAAAAATTTAGATGTAATGTCAATCAACATTTTTTATCTTCTTGAATCCCATTCAGGTTTTATCCTTTCCTTGGTCCCCAATATACCCAGTCTCTTCTCTCACCTTCACACTGTACCCCCCCCTGCATACCAGTAGCATTCCCACCTTGCTTGGGGTGAGATGATTAAAAAAAAAATTAAGTGGTTAAAAAGGTCGAAAACATCTTCATTTGCTTTATACAATAGTACCATTTAAAGATATTTAACAATTCTTTGTTATTTTATCTTTAAAATGATGATTTCTATATAAATGACAATACTGTTATTATTCTAATGGTCTCCAAGATATACATGCTTTTAACAATTGCACTAATTTTCTTATCAACTTCACTTATCTTACAGATCAGAAATCAGTGGCATTTGTGTTTAAATCAGTCTGGTCAATTTAAGAATGATACATTTTGGTGATGGAACTTGCTATAGTTTTTGTGAGCCTTAGGAGAGGGCAAATACCTGGTTTAGGATATAACTGTTCTACTGTTGGTTTCTAGTTAGTTAGATGGCAGAACTCAATTCACAACATTTGCCTCCAATTCATTAGTCATTTGTTCTATACGATGCACTGCATTTAATATTTACTCTGAAGTCAACTGCTACCAACATAATTTCTCATGCTGATTAGATGATCTGGAACATATTATTGTTGAAATTCCATTACATCAAAATCTCAGCAGTCCACACCTCATAGAGAGATCTTACATTGCAAACTGTAGAGTGCTTGAGTGACAGTTGCAATCTGTCCACTTCCCCGGGCTTCCTGCTAGCCTTGTTTATATTTATGTTGTTCATGTGCATAGCATGTCTTGCATGTGGCCGGGTTAGTGCATCTTATGAATGGGTTACCGGTGTTGTTCTTACAGACTTCCCTCCGTATGATATGGTCACCTGTCTTACTCTACATGCCCCATCCCCTCATGGGATCACAAGGTTTTTGTGTTGTGGTCCATTGCAGTGACAACCTTGAGTACTCATGTGATGTACCTTGCATCTGTGGGGATAGAGTTCAAGGTGATTGTGATGTTCTTATACACGTGATGTGGGCCCTGTTTTGGTGGTGATTCATGTTTGGTGTTGGCTTTCATTAACCCCCATCATTGTGGGGATTTCCATCCTCTTCAAGCCATCTGTGTACTCTACTTCCATTTCTTCTGGTGCAATACCTGAAGATTTGGACTGGTAGTGCGTAAGTTGCAGTTCCCCATACTGATCTGTGTGGTTATATCATCTTGGAGGTACAATGCTTGTTCTTCCTGGTTTTGTCCGTTTCGGGAGTAATTTATCATAAATGGACTGTATCCAACATGCGAACATCACCTCGGCTGGAGATTGTGAAGCTGGTGTTTTGCTATTAAGGGGTAATACTGTATACTTGAAGAAATTGTTGAAGGGCTTTTTCAGTTGATGTAGCCCTAGCTTTCTTCAAAGCTATCTTCAAAGTATCCACAAATCTCTCAGCCTGTCCGCTAGACCTCGAATGGTACAGAGCGGTAGTGATGTGTTTGATCTGATATGTTTCACAGAAGTCTCTAAATTCTTCAGACGTAAACTGACTTTTAGTAATTTCTGTAGTTGGGTTTTTGTATCTGTGTACTTCAGGCCACTTCGAGAAAATGTCAACTACAATGAGGTAGTAATATTCTTCTAGAGGGCCCGCCAAGTCAATGTGAATTCTAGACCAAGGTAGATCCGTTTTTGGCCAGGGATTGAATTTAATAGGAGGTACCTCTGCTGCCAAGGCACAGCCTTTACATGATTTGACAATGTTTTCTATATCTTTGTCCATGTTTTGCCAATAGACATAGCTACGCATCAAACTTTTCATTTTAGTACTCCCTGGATGGCCAGCATGAACATCTTTCAAAATACGCTTCTGGAGTGTTGATGGAATAGTTCCCTGTATAGTAACACCTCATCACATATAGAGAAAACGTCCGTAGTTTGCTGGTCCTTTTCAAAGATTATACTCATTGTGGAGAACCTCTTGTCTTATTTGTTCAAGTGTCACGGGAAGTTCACTTACTGTATTACAAAGGGTAGTTTTTAATTCTCCTTCAGATTGAAGGGAGGTGAGCACTGTATCTTCCAGTGGTTCTTTGTACTTGGGAATTAGTCTTGACAATCCGTCCGAATGGATGAATTTTTTTGATGTCACGTACTCCATTTGAAAGTTGTAATTTAGCATGATTGTACTCCACCACTGCAGTCTGTTTACTGTGTGAGTAGGCAGACCTTTCTTTGAGCCCAAAATAGTGAGTAATGGCTTGTGGTCTGTCTGTAGAGTGAAATGTCGACCGTAAATATAGTGGTGGAGCTTCGTGATTGTGAATATAATCCCAAGTGCCTCTTTTTCAATCTGCGAATAATTTTTTTTCCGCAGGAAGCAAAGCTCTCGACGCATGAGCTGTCGGTTTTACTGTTCCATCAGTCATTTTGTAAAGAATTTATGCCCCTATGCCATATGAACTAGCATCACTGGCAACAATGATTTCCAAGTCCGGGTCGTAATGTGTAAGACATAAGACTGACATTAGTGTTTTCTTTATTTTTTTTCAAATGCCTCCTGGCATTCTGCTGTCCAAACCCAGGGCTTGTCTTTCTTTAATAGTTCATTAAGTGGGGTGCATGTAAATCATGTATATTTGGTATGAATGCCTGGTAATAATTTGCTAGTCCAAGGAAGCTCTGCAACGAAACGATGTTATTGGGCACCGGCATGTCTTTAATTGTGGCAACCCATTCAGGATTTGGTCTCCTGCCATCCCTGTCGATTGTGTCCTAGGTATTTGATTTTTTCCATGAAAAAAAAATCACATTTGGTCTCCGGAAAATACAATTTTTGTACCAGTGTAGGGCCCCATATCTGTAACATGGGTTAGGGGGCAAATTATTTTGCTTTTTTTTTTTTTGTTTCATTAGCTTTAGGAGACTTTGTTTCTGTTTGAGGTATACATTTTTGACGTTAGCAATACCTGATTCTTCGATATTTTTAGTATCCTGCTTTAAACTGACGTACCTCTGACATTCTTCAGCGATCTGCTGTAGAGTTATATTCGACTCATTCTCCAATTTGTTTAGGATTCTTCACCTAATTTCTGCATCTTTTGTTGAAACTAGTCCTTGCACGAATATCAAACATTTGAAGTTATTCGCACTTAGCTCCGTCAGTCTAAAATCATCGCAGTGCTTGTTTACTACTGACACAAAAGTGGAGTAATCTTCCTATTCTTTCCTAGTTAGATTAAGACATTTCCATCTCTTATAGAAAAGAGATGTCTTTGGACTGAAAAGCTCTATTAATTCCACTGCTTCGGTGAATGTCAACTCGCTAGTCTTCCGGGGCAGAATGTAGTTTACAAATTTTGCGTGTTCAGTTGTGCCAAGTTTCTTTAGAAGACAATGTACTTTTTTTGAGTCATTCCAATTTGCACAATCTGTAGTATATAAGTCCTCATATCTCCTAAAGTATGACACAAAGGTTATGTCTTCCTCGAGAGTGTATGAAAAATTTTCTATCATGCTCCAAATGGTGTTTTGCAAAAAAGAAAATTCGTTTTCAATGGGACTACTATGGCTTGTCAGTTCTAAAACTTGCTTTTGAAATTGAAGCCATTTCTCTTGATTTTCCTTCTGGGTCTGAAGAAATAAATTTTCCATTTTTTCCTGTTGAGAGAGCAGTTGTTTTTGCCACTTCTCTTCCATCCTTTCTTGGAGCTGTAATTGCTGTGCATTCTGGTACTTTACAAGATCTAACAAAATACTTTTGAAATCCTCCATGATAAGTGTGTCTTTTTTTTTTTTTTTTTTTTTTTTTCAGTTTTACTTTTCTGGTTTTTTCCAGATGCTTTTCAAATGAAAAAAAAAAAAAAACTATGACAAAAAATAGAAAAAAATTTCTTGTACATCCAATGTCAAAACAAATTTACATGTAATTATTTTACGAAAACTTGTTTGCCCATGTTTCAGGAGAGTTCCTTTTTAATCCCGGTGGTCCTCGCAAATCCTCA